TTGTAATAACTTGCAATATGAAAGCAATTAATTGTATCTACTAATTGTTAAGAAAAGCTGGGTATTTCTGTTTTGAATCAGGACTGGGTCAAGTAAGTACTGTGCATGCTAGTGCTTCAACCGATTCCTTCTGCAGACACGCTTTTAAAATGTTTTGTTCATTCTTCTTTGCAGATTAATTAATTCTGATAGATCTGAGATAGAGTATCACATAAATCCACAGTTCCTTTATTCATGTTAAATGTGATTTTTATTTGGGGAAGAGAGAGTATTAATTTTGTTCTTCAGAATAACTATAATCTCTTGAGCGGTAAAACCTTGTTAATTTTCATGTAGCTAATCCTCAAATAATAATTCACTTAAACACAACAAAAATAACTGCTTAGGTGCAAATGACTGTAACTTACTCTGTTTTGGCCTGTAAAGTGTACCTAAAATCCAAATGTATACATCACTGGAAATTGTTTAGGAACTTTTTATGATCCTCAAAAAGTCACAGTCTCCCAATTAAAAACAAAATGGGCAAATATTTTTAAAAGTACTGACGCTAAGAGTTCTAGAAAACTCAGAAATTAAGTTTGGGAAAGGAAGACTATAGCCAACAATGAAAAAGAAGAAACACAAAAAACACTAATGCTTAATGACTGCACAGAGCTACTAGAACAGTCAATAGAGGCAAGAGAGTTCAGTAAATATTTTTGTTCTGTGCTTGGGAAAAAGGCAGATACGATGTTCACATCGTGGGATGTACGATAACACACACTCTGTTTTCACAATAATCAAGGAGAAGGTTAAGCAGTAGTTATGCTTAAATTTGGCATTTTTAAGGCGCAGGCCAGAGGATTGTTGTTTATCATTCGTACAGATTTTTTTTCTAGCTCTTCGAAAACAGAAAAAGTTCCAGAGGACTTGAAAAGCACTATGCAACTACTTTCTGAGAAATAAATGTAATCCTCTGTCTGACAGTAGGCTTGAGGGAAATTATAAAATTATTTAGGTGATTAATTTAATACATGTAAAGGATAGTAATGATAATGAGTCCTTGTTCTTGGAAAGTAAGTTTTATCATGTTAACTTTAATATTCTTGATGTAGTTGAGAGTTTGTATAATAAAATAGAGTTAAAATTCTTACAGCTGTGTAACACAGTTGGCTTTAAACTTGCATGATATCTTTTCCTAGTGAAGTAGGATGATGCAAAGTCAATACAGTACCTATGAAGTGTGTAGCAGCTACCTGATAAGAATTCTAAGGGTTTCAGTGATGTTGCCTCAGGATCAGATTTTGGTCTTGTTTTATTTAGCAACGTAGGTCTCTGACAGGGGAGTCTCTAAGGCTAGAGCAGCTGGAATCCATCTTCTCATGGGGCAGGGACGTCCCAGCTGCATAACAAGCTACTGGGTTGTCCATGCAGTGAAAATACTAAGCTCGAGGGAAGAAGTGTGGTAGACAGGTGAGGGCATCATCTCAGGCTAAACCATCAGTCTCCATTTGTCAAGAAACCCCTAGATAATGTTAAATTATTTGTGTTAATATTTGCTAAAAGCACAGACTGGGAAGTGAATGCTGTATAATGAAGAGGACAGGTGACTGTTGCAAAGCAAACTGGGTCACACCTCTGCTTCTGGTTAACTGTGTGTTTTGGTATAGCCAGAGGGGAAGATGTTCTCAAAGACTGAAGGCTATAAACTGTTTTTAGAAGGTGTGGGAATGTATCCTAGAAAGCAGTAAAATGGGGGGGGGGGGGGAAGGGTGTTTTAATGAATCTGGTGATTTGATTATTCAAGAGATCCTTTAATTACATGAAATCCAGGCACCTATTTCATACATAGTGGTTGGTGTCACTCATGAGCATGGCAGTTTGAGTTTGGTCCTCAGGGTAAAGAAGTTCCATGAGCTGTTGTTGCTTTTACCCATCGAGCAAATTGCAGTGGACTGAGAGCTGCAGCTTTGACTCAGGACAATGCTGCACATCAGCGTGCACCTCTGTCCTTTCTGAGGCTGGCAGCTGCTCCTGCCTTCTCTTCCCACTCTGCGGGAGTGAAGGGTATTATCCTGCCTGCACAGTCTATGAAAAGCCAATTTCCTCTGGTAAGTCAATTTAAATGAATGAAGCCTGTCCTTCTCTTCATTCCTCCATCATGGTGTTGTAAGTGACTGTTTGAGCATCCAGTTTCTTTTCGGGGCCTAAATCAGGTTTGTTTTTTCTCAAGCATTGCATCTGTTGCCTCTTTCAGCTGGTATGAAATCCTCTCACAGAAAATACGCTCTTGAAACAGAGATGTGTGAGATTTTCCTCACGATTGCTGTGGTGAAAAAGGGTCTTTCACTTTCCTTGCACAGGCCATAGTTCTGTATTTCCAGAGGTGGAGAGGCTGGCAATGGATAATCACACCGCCTCATTTCAGGTGCTGGTAGCAGATCTTTGTAGTACTTCTGTGGTGTTTTTTATAATTTCTGTTGCTCTGTTTTCCACACTATCAATTACAGCATTATTCTTTAATAGCTCTTTTGTGTTGTTATTAATAATAAGTTATTCTGATTCATGGACGAAAAAAGGATGATAGAGTGAAACTGGTCTGTTAAAGACAACTTTAAATGTTCTGCCCATCTGTTTGCTATGCCACTTGAATTTACAAGTGTTTTCCTATCTCAGCTTTACTTTCTTTGGCCCCTTTCCTCTCTTGAAACTTCCGCACAGGGTTTTAGTAGCTTAATAGGAAACTGTGGCATACATTTGGTAGTATCAGCTTCAAGTGCTGGGTTTATGAGGTATCTCTGTTCATCTGATCTTTTCCTCTGTACTGTCTGCTTTCTTCTGTATCTGCTTTGCCTTTTCAGACCTGTAGTTTCTCTAAGCGTACAGAAGTTTCTCCTTTCTGTATTGTCCCCCTTCCCTGAAGACCCCGTGTACCCTGGCTTTACTGAGTTTTCACTGTGGTGATTATTTTGTGACTTAAGTCACAAGATAATTATCTTGTCACGTTAGTTCTAAGCAATGTCCCTTTTTCTTCGGGTTCAGTCTTTCTCATCGTCCTTGCCTCAGAAATTGCCTGAGAACTGTTTATCAATTTAAACTGAATTTTGTCATAGTTCTCTTTGATTTTTAATACTATGCATTTGCTTTTCTGGGTTTTATTTTTCAGTTTGATACTGCAAAGATTATAGTTACTTCTAATACCTGATATTCAGATTATAGTTTCACTTTGTATAGATGGTCTGTGTCTCAGATTCATGCAACTGTGGTCGATAAATTTCTTGGGGTGATGGTGATTTTATATTGCCATGTTTTTTTCTATGTTTTTGGGGGGGTGGGCAATAGGGTCTTTGCAAGAACTACATCAGACATTAAGCATTAGTCAGTGAGGTTTTTGCCAAGTTGGATGATGCCTAATCAAAGCTTCCACATTGCTCTTTCAGTTTCTTTGAAGTTGCGGTCTATTCTGGCATTAGACTTACCTACTACAAGGAATAAACTGTGTTTGGTATTTTGACAGGCATGCTTTGGAGACAGTTGTTAAATATGTCTCGGTCTGTATTGCTCTGATCTTCTGTCAGAGGAGAGCAATGTATGAGTTAGAAAGCTGGCGTAAGTTCTGAACTGAATGACTGACTTGTTTGTCATGATGAGCACCAGTTTCTCAGGATGCTCATCTTTGCTGCAGCCTGGGGTAGGTGAGAAGTTTGCTCATTTTCTTTAAAGTGTTTGTCATAACAGTCACTCTGATCTGATCTCAAGCCCCAAGTCCATCTTACTCATGGTTTGTGGTAGCTTGATGTGAAGCAGTGCTCTCACATGCCAGCATCCAGCTCTATGATGTTTCTCAGTGCCAGTATCACAGTTTCTGTGGTTTAGAGACAAGCTCTACTGCTAGGAGTTTCATCTAATACAAGTCAGATGTGTTTTCTGCTGAAGACTGTTTTTACCAGAACAATTTTTTTGTAACTGTTGAGTTTTATGAAGATAGCTGACTAAATTATGCATTAGAAATATCCCTTTTTGTGGAGTGTTGCGAGGTGGTAACAACAGCCAGTGAATCAAGTGAGGTTGGAAGAAGGATTTGAATAGTGCTTAGTTTGAAGAATTTTGAAGCAGCTGAGTCATTTTTAACAAACAAAAATGGGGATGGTTTTGTTAATAAATACTTTCCTGGTGATAGTGACTGGAAATTGAATATAGACTAAGCTCAGAATGCAGATTTTTCGGGTCATTCATTACAGGAAAAGTTAACACACATACGGTGGGTTATCCACATCTGGAAATCTCTAGAGAAAGGCTGTACATACGACAAGGGAGGTTCTCACTCAAGTACACAAGATGGTTGGACTCAATGATCTTAGAGATCTTTTCCAACCCTAATGATTCTGTGATTCTGAGTACACGTACGGGTGTTGACACAGCAACTCACTCAGAGTAGGTCCTTTCCTCTGTTGTTGAAACAAATGGATTATGCAGCAGTGGCTCCTTCTGGCTTCAAAACGTGTAAATCGGAGAGGGGTAGGTGGTTGTTCAATTCAGTGTTGTTAGTGTACTTGTAATTGTTTTTTGTGACTCAGCATTTTTTTGGCTGAGGCATTGTAATTTTCTGACTTTGTGCTCTGCCACAGTGCTATGCACAGCATTACCGGACTGCGTTATCTCAGCTGCTATGAATTGATCATCCACCAACCAGTGCCGACCTAATAAGGTGGTTCTCTATTTCTAGTTGAAACCCGCTTTCTCTGTTAAATTTTGTCAAATGAGTCATACTTGCTTGTATTTAAAATGGTTGTATTTTTAACTAATAGTGGTGATGTTGCAGATTCGGCAGGCAAAGTGGGAATTATTTTGAATATTATCAAATTATACACTGAGAATTCTTGATTAAAATATATGAGCTTTATTTGCATCTTGAATTATGGTTTCTCCTTATACATCATCATTTTGCAGAAGAGATCACACTAATATTTATTAATTTTATTTGTCAAGTATTGACAGAGGCAGCTCTTCTTTCCTTTTAGGAATCTGGGTAAAAATGGCTTATCTAACAGTAGTATTCTATTGGATAAATGCCCACCTCCACGACCACCGCCTCCACCGTACCCTCCCTTGCCAAAGGACAAGCTGAATCCACCTACACCTAGTATTTATGTAAGTAAATCTAATGGCAGAAGTACATTGCTGACTGTCTTTTGTAATTATTTGGATGTCTGAATTACGTAATGTAATTATTTTAAAGATGCACTATTCACAGCTGAATTCTAATTACAGTGCTCTCCCAACTAGTGTATAAGCGGGGAAAATGCTAACCTTAAAGAAAATTTTGAGCCTTAGTTTGACTCTTAAAGTACTTGTAAATTAAGAATTTCAGTAACCAAGAGGAAAAACAGCTGCAGAATTTTTTTGTTTTTAATATTCAAAATATTGTCAGAATAAGCAAAACAGTTCATTAGATACGATGTAGATACAATATTTCAAATATTTATGTACATTTTTTGCAAGTGACAGTTTAGGTATAAACGAGAAAGTAATTAAATTAAACTCTCCTAACAATCTGCTTGAAAATACAGTAAAGAAAAAATTAATAAAACTTGAGGTGATGTTAAGAACAAATTGTCATTAGGAAAAGGCAGGTTTTAATTGCATAGTGTTTTCATATGCAACCATTAAAACTTCTGTTCTGAAAATAAAGTTTCATAATAGAAGTTATCAGAAGAATTTGAGTTAACTTCCTTAGTAACAGAAGAAGAAATTATAGGATGTCCCCTTCCTTGATAACAGAAGAATAAATTATAGTATGTCCATACAGCTGGTGTGAAAACCTCAAGTTAGCTTTGCTCAGCCCAACTTGGGGACCAAAAGCAGTCGGCACTTTGGTGTGATACTACACAAGCAGTCTGCCCGAGAGCTAGATTAAGTTGGAAGCATTACTGCTTCCAACTCCAAGCGTTGCATCTGAATTAATCTACCTTGTTAAAAGTCCGTCACAGCTTTGTTGAGTCTGTACAAAGCTGGGAAGTCACCATGTTGCAGCACACTGTGTAGATGTGCCAGCGTGGGTCCCAATATTTGGAAACTCTGTATTGTGTTTTGTTTATTGAAAGAGAGGTCTTCAACATTTTAAGAGATTCACAACAATTAAAAAAAAAAAAAGAAAGAAAAAAAAGATTGGGGACACTATACATAAAATTGAGGTCATAGGTGCACAAAAGCATAAGAAAATCAAATCAGCCTTTATGGTTAACATGAGATATACTGTGAGAGTAATCTTTTTAATTATACTGTTTCTTGTATACATTATCTGTAGAATTAGCTTTTTGACTTGTGTAAAGAAAGTTAGTATATTATCTTGCTCTTCAGAGAATTCTGTAGATTTAGAGAATGTACAAGGCTAATGTCAGATAAAGAAATAACCTGCAGGAAACCTGAGTTGCAAAAGCCAAAGCAACCTGGGAATAATTCAAGCCAAGAAATAAATTGCAGTAACAAATTAATTTCAGGAGTGAAGCTAGCTTTTAACATGGAAAGGGTTGTATGATGTAGCTGTTCATTCCCTACAGTGCAGGGAAATGGAGAACGTTCCTGTCTCCTTTCTGTTGTTTCTCTTTTTTTATTATTCTTTCTTATTTTACAAATAAGGAATCTAAGTTCATCTGACATCTAATATTCCATTATAATTTTACAGTTGGAAAACAAACGAGATGCTTTCTTTCCACCTTTACATCAATTTTGTACAAATCCAAACAACCCTGTTACTGTAATACGTGGCCTTGCTGGAGCGCTTAAATTAGGTAAGTTTACTTTCATTGTTTTTTTTTTTTTACTTTGGAAAAAAATGTATGTGTGTTTTAGAAAGAAGTCTCTCAGTTCTTAAAAGTGGCTATTTTATTTCTGTAATACTGCTTTACTTGTGTATTCCAGGTAATTAGGGTAATGTGTCATTTCTCAGTTTGCTACTGTTTCTAATCTTGATCATCTCAAAAAAAAAAAAAACCCCAAAAACCCCCAAAAAACCCCCCAACAAAATCCAGCAGATTTTGTTGAGCACAGAGAGGAGCTGAGCTGTGGATATAGAAGCTTACAGATAGACTTTTTTCCGATGAAAACTATGGCTACATGTCTTTGTGCTTAGATTTAATGATCTATAATCTGACTGTGTACCATATTTTGAACTCTGTAGATAGAAAAATTATCATTGCTGGTAGGAAATGTGTTATGTGATGGAAGCGCATTCATAAAACTATAGTTTGAAAAATACTTTATTGGTAATAGATTTAAACATTGTTTGCAGATTTGTTTACACAAGTCATGTAAAATGTTTCTTGGAATATAGTCCATACAGTAGCTGCCAAGTTTTTTCTAAGCTTCTACTGTTGTGTGCAGAAAAGCTTTTTGAGTGTTAATCTTGAGCGTTAATTTTTAACCTACAGGTGGGCTGTGTTATGAAGGTTAAGGGGGGAAAAACATGCTTTCATTTAAACCTTCAGATAACTTCAAAGTATTAATGTCTTCTTTTCTTGAAACTTTTTATTATATTTTAACTGTCATTTATGAATTTTATTCCTATCTATTAGATCTAGGACTCTTCTCTACTAAGACATTGGTAGAAGCAAATAATGAACACATAGTAGAAGTGAGGACACAACTACTGCAGCCAGCAGATGAAAACTGGGACCCCACTGGAACAAAGAAAATCTGGCGTTGTGAAAGCAGTAGATCTCATACAACAATTGCTAAATATGCACAGTACCAGGCCTCCTCATTCCAGGAGTCTTTAAGGGTAAGTCCATTGTTATTATTTACGATAACAATTTACAAACTGTAAACTAACTCTGGAACCAATTAGTAACTCCTAATCAGGAGTTTATTTAGGAAAAGGAGACATTTCGATTAGTGTGAAGAGCACAGGTAAATTTACAAAATCTCTTTTGAATAGAGGGTCAAATCATATATAGGGTATTCCTCCCAAATGCTTAATGTAAAACTTAATTTTCTTAATGTAAAACTGACTATTACATACTTTAAAAGCTTGATAGCTTAAGCATTCATATAATAATATCAAAATTCATATTAAAATATTTAGAACTTAAGATTTTTTTTTAACTTGTATTGCTTCTAATTTCACATACTCTTTGAAATTAAATTTCTTTGTTCTTCATAGTATCCTGAATTAATTCGGATGTAGCTTATTAGAAGTTTACACTCATACTTGTCTTTCAGCACAACAGTTTATAATATTAAAATAACTTCTTTTTTCCCCAGAAAAGTGATGCTTTCCTATTTGTTATTGTTTGGTTCCAAACATAAGAATTTCTGTTTAGTTTAGTAGTTGTTAGATGTATCTGACAGGGTGAAATGTCTGAAATGTTATTTTATTGGTATTACTTTTTAGTATTTTCGCTGAAGTAGTGAGCATATTGTTGGAATTAGCTATGGGCACTCCTTGGAGGCTTATGTTATCTGCTGTTATAAAAAGATCAGGGTAAGGTGGAACTAAGACAAAAAGATATTCTTGACCAGTTGTTAATTAGAAAATAGGGAAAATGCCAAAGTGGGTAATTGACTATTGCAGTATTCACTGCCATTACACAGAAACAGCAATGGTTTCATTAAGAAAGGAAAGAGAAATTCTAAATTTAAACTTTGTGCATTAGAGGAAAGGTCTAGAAATGAAGAAATGAATCGGTAGTTGAAGAAAAGAGAAGGGAAGGTAGTCACAAGGTTTTGAGTGAGACTGATACAAGATGAGGAGAAGAAACAGGAGTACCATTGGGAAGTGGGGAGCATTGAAGTCATCAAGAGCTTGGGATGTAAAAGGGTGTTTTTTTTTTTCTCTGCAGTGGTAATAAATTTATGTAGGATATCAACTGAAGCTTTCCGGTGCCCCTTGAATACTTGCACCAGCATTGTATTCTTGTACATCATTCCAGAGGGGCTGGAGAACACTATATACATATAATGGTCCAGTGAAGTACATGTTCAATAATGTACATAACTGATCACATACCAGCTTGTCAGTTTTTTTTCCTCAGCTCTGGTTTTGCACCAAGAAGTGAACTGCAGGGTTTTCTGATGTTTTTTTTTTTCTGTTACAAATTGATGGTAAAAATGTAATATGTAAAATAATTTTCTGAGTGATGATTGTCATTTTTGCCTTGGAAATGAAAAAGACATTGTTTTAAGTGTACAAGCGTCCTTTACCTAACACTGCTTTGACCTGTCCTTAGGTGACTTTTCACAGTGTTCACATGAAAGCCTTGTTTCTTCTTTCTACAGACACAATCCTCTTGGCTTGCCCTAAGTGATATCTTTTTTTTTTTTTTAATTCCTCTAACAACTATTACATTGCTTTTCTAACATGTCTTGGAGTATTTGATAAATCCATCATCACTAGGTTCCTTTTTGTTTCTTTTTGTCCTTCATTCAAAGGATGAATAAGACTTTCTCAGGTACATCGGGCACTTTGAGATTTAACAACAGTCCCATTCAAAGCTAGAGATCTTTGGATAGCCTCCAGGCAGTTCTTTCCTCCTTTTTGTCCTGTTCTTTTACCTTCTATGTCCATATACTTGCCAAAAAAGAATTCTTTAGAATAGGGTTTTGAGCCCACTCTGCTAAAAAGATCAAATTACATCATTTAATATTGGTTAGATTTTTTCCACTAGTCATGGTCCTAGCTACTGGAGTGCTAAAATAGCATATGGCTATGAAAAATTCAAAAGATTTTATATAATGGATTTTATAAAATTAATTTTATAAATATTAGTCATCCTAATTTTGTGTCAGGAGACCTGCTTGACTTTGAAGCAAGGTAAATGTTCTAGTCTAAAAAAGTTAACGGTATTCCTTAAGTTAGTTAACTGGATTCCAGTTCACCTGCATAATGAAGCAAACCAACATACTCATTTGCAACTGTAATGTAGGCTAGCAGAAGTGTTTACAGTGTAGACATTTTCTGTTGTCCTCGCCTGAGCTTCACTGAATTTGTAGTCATGAAGGATTTTTTGCAATGGCTTTTGACTAATAACTACTTTTTTTTATTTTCTTAACAGTAATATTCACATAAAATCTTAGATACAGATATTTTAAAGATTGTACCAGCATCTTGAAACAAATGTACTTATGCCTGTGAACATGTTATCACTTTATACCTATATATTTTAGATATATTCTTACTTTTATGTTTGTTTATATATATTAAAACATTTCCACAATTGCATTTTATAGGAGGAAAATGAGAAGAAGAGTCACCACAAGGACCACTCGGATAATGAATCCACATCTTCTGATAAGTAAGTGTGGTATAACTGTGATAATTCTGTGGTTGGTTTTATGTGTTTTTTTACATCATTCCCATCTTCACATCAACCTATTACGTTTTTTGTATTTGCAGCTCTGGGAGGAGGAGAAGAGGACCTTTTAAAACAATCAAGTTTGGGACCAACATTGACCTGTCAGATGACAAAAAGTAAGTTGATTACAGTTTCTCCTGCTCACAGTGGTATTCTACAGTATGATACTCCTTCTGGAAAACCAATGCGTTCTTCTCGGACATCAGTCAGTCTGTTGATAAACCTAATTCCAGCTGCACACCCCATTTCCACAATTAAATTGTTACCTTTGGTCTTCTAACAGTTGTTAAGAGTCCTTCTCACCCTAAAATCTCCTTTCAAGCTTTTCTTTCCAGGATCTTAATTTTTCCAGAAATGAACTTAAAACATCCATCAGAAACTGTTCTTTCTAGTCCTCCTTCAGTACATTCCCTTTGTTTCATTCTGAGGCTTTAAATTGTTTGCTTACAACTAATTACTTCTGACAACACCGAGTTCTCAGTCTTTGCACAGAAATTGTAAGATTAAAGGATTTTTCTTTTTTGTTTGTCTGGATTTTTGTTACTTCTTTTTTGTTTCCTTTTGTTCCTACTGTCATCCTTTCTGTTTCCACTTTTTTATAGCTCTTGCTTCTCTATCCAGGAATAGGGTTCAAAATAGGTAGTAAAGATCAGACCAATGCTTACCTGTGAATAAGCCATGAAACCTTTGCCAGAACCTGAAAAAAAAAAAAAAGAAATAAATTGTGTGTTCTTTAGACTACGTATCTTTCTCCGAGCAGATGGAACGTAGCTCAGAAAAACATCAGAAAGTATTAGAAATACTCTGAAAGCATATTTTTTTGTCCAGTAATAATTTTTTATTTGGTTCAATCTCTAGTTAGTATATATTTCCATAAAAGATCCAGCATGTCTAGGCTGTCAGTCCTGCCAGCTGCAGTACAAAAATTCTGATCTACTTCAACCCTTAGAGCAGAAGAAAAGATTATGGTGTTTGAAACGGGGGAATAAGGCCCGCTTAAGATGCTGAGGTCTTTTGTGATATAGTCACTGAAAGATCAATGTGTATACATACATATGTGATTAGAGATTGTTACAAAATTTTTGTAACAATTGTGATTAGAGATACAATTGTAACAATTTTTGTAACGTGATTAGAGATTGTTACAAAATACTGATGCTATTTTTTTCTAAAGAAAATTCCATCTGTAGATGCAAAATTGTTGCTAATAAATTAGCACTCAGAGCAAACCATTGGGAGAGAGACTTTAAATTAACCTAAGCATAACTAAGCTGAGGCTCGTAGGGAATTGCATTTTGACACTTGAAATAGTTCTTGTAGGATCCCAGGTAAATGCCTGATCTTCTGATCCGCAGTCTCGGCTTTTGCTACAAAACTGTCTTTCCCCTCAACTAGCCTGTCAAATTTGTGACTATATTTGGAAATATTTTAAAATTAAGAGAGTAACACGGATACCTGGGTGATATTACAGAGCTCCACACTTAAGTTCTAGGATTTTTGTGTTTGAAGATCTGTGTTTTTCTTAATGCAAGTGTTTAGTTCCATAGCACATGCATGTAGTTAACTTCATTCTTGGTCACAGCAATTTGTGCACAGGCTAGGGTATGTTTAGACAGTCTTCTTGACATATGTTGTACTGTTGTATCATTTGGCTCTTGAAAGCATGGTTAACAGTTTCTGACTCGCTTAGAGTGTGAGGAGAGCACAGCTCTGTTTTAACTTGGAAAAGATGTACACCGAGGTGTAAATTTCAAGCAGAATTTTCTGGCAGTATGGCAGCAGACTGGCTAACTGCAAGAGTGAGTCCGGTCACCCTGGCTTTTAGCTCACCCTTAAATGAAATTGTCATTTAAATTTCTGTAACTGTCAAGTAAAGGTATTGCATTGTCTCAACTTCCCTCTTCAGAGATGATAAGTTATATAGAAGTAGGTTGTCTCCTCTTTTACCTCCTATGCTAACAACTTTTTGAAAATGTTTATATTTCTCAAATTCTTCTAAGAATTTGGGGTTTCACAGTTTGTCAATTTGCTGTTTTGCTGCAGGTGGAAGTTGCAACTCCATGAACTGACAAAACTTCCTGCTTTTGTACGTGTGGTATATCTTCTAAGCCATGTTGGTCATACCATCCTGGGCATGAACACAGTGCAGTTGTACATGAAGGTTCCAGGAAGCAGAACACCAGGTGAGTATAATCTCTTTGCATGAAAAAAAAATCAGGTTCTATTGCTGTGGTATTGATTTAACTGCACTGCAGATATTCCATATCTTACAGCATGCCTAAACGTGATAAAACTGTATATATTCAGCATTTTTTTAATTTCTTGTTTAACTGAACTCTGCGTGTATGAAGTACTAAATTACTTTATAGTGGAAATTTCTGGATATCTGCAGTGCTAGATAATTACTATACTAACCTCTTGCATGCAGTACTGGATTCTTTAAGGGGAGAAAGAGGATGGGTTTACGTACTTGGACAGTATTTGTATTTTACATGCTTTGAAAGTTTTTATAGGCTTCCAAAGTAGGTCTTGTGCAATCATAGAAATCAGTATACTTTTACTTTTTGCTATCTTGTCGTCTGAGGATAGGACTCAACCCTCCATAATGAATAGTGCTGTGTTAGGGCACTGGACTGAGACTTGAGGGATCTGGACTAAATTTCAGGGTCTCTTTTTTCTGAAGTACAACTTTAAATAGTTCCGTTAGGGATTATGGCTCAGTTTTCCAGCTGTCAAAAGAAGATAAAATACTGGCATTTCTACATTGATTTTGAAAGCTCTTTGGGACTGATTTTCTTACTACTTGTCTATTCAGTGCCTGAAGTCATGAAGTTCTGCTCCTGACTGGGACTGTCAAGAGCTATCATAAAACACAGAATCTAAGCTTTAGCATCTTGAAGCATTTATTTCTACAAAAAGGGAACTGCTGAAGTATTGGTCAGATTCACAAGATTGGTAGTTTCAGCTTTTCATTTTCCACAAACTAACAAAAGCAGAATTCTCTTGCCACTGGTAGCTTAATTGCATTTCTTAACACTGTGAAGCACCAAAATAGTATGTATAAGTGTCACAGAAAAATATGTACAAATACTTAAACTATGATGTAGGGTTTTTTAGTAATTATAACTTTGCATTTTCATAGTGTTATTTTGGTAGATCAACCTTACATAAAGGGTGTTTATTTTTCTCTAAATTTCAGGTCATCAAGAAAATAACAACTTTTGTTCAGTAAATATAAATATTGGTCCAGGTGACTGTGAATGGTTTGTTGTCCCTGAAAGCTATTGGGGTGTCATGAATGACTTCTGTGAAAAGTAAGCTGGGCATGCTGTTCTTCTCTATTTTTATCAAGTTCTCTGTGCCTTTCTCAGACCTAAGGGGGGAAATTACTGAGGGTGTTGTAAGGGGACATTTTACAGGTTTTCCATGTAGTCAGAAAAGTCTTTTAAAATAAGTCAAAATGCAAAATCTAAATTTATACAAAATACAACATTTGTACAATGTACAGAAACTTGGATTGCCTGTGATAGCTTTGCTCTCAAAAATTAACATTAGGTCCATTATTTGCTTTTTTCAAACACGGGAATGAAGGAAATACAAGAAGTGAGAGATTGATAGTAGCAAATGCTCATCCAAGTTCAAGATTCAAATTTATACTACATTAAGGGAGATCAGTAGTTTAGTATAAGCACAGGCTGTCTGCTACCAATGTGTATTACGTGGCATCAATCCAGTTTTTGTAGTGGTAACATTTTCACATCAGAAAATCCATCATGGTCCTTGCTGTTTATCTAGGCACTCTATCATGCATATTAAAGCTGACCTCTACTATGACCAAATGGTGATGCATTTGTAATGGCTTCTAGGGCTATTGCAGTGGAGTGATGGAACAAAGTTGGGGGTGAAGGAGTTGAGGTTTTGTTTCGGGTTTTTTAGGAGTGATGGAATAAAGTGTTTTCCTGGTGATGTATGCTGTTAATCTTTATTATGATTAATGTACACATGTTGTACACAAGCAAGTACAGAGTCATTGGTATTTTGGCATGGTATGACATTCTTGCTGCATCTAGAGGGAGACCTTAGTTTACTCGGACCCCAGGAGGTGTCATGGCATGCTTTGCATACACTTACAAGTTTGTAGCTTGCTGGAAAAGTTAAAGTGCACTGACCGTTGGGGAAATACTCAGCCAGCTCTAAGATTGGGGTTTCTATGTTGTGCCTTTTGTTTGTTTTTAAAGCATCCACCTAACACAACACACACATATGCACATGCACACCCCCGCTCCGTGCCCCCCCCCCCCCCCCCCCAAACCCCCCCCCCCCCCGCGCCCCCCCCCCCCCCCAAAAAAAAAGGGGGGGAGCAATTGTGTCCTTTAATCATGCTAGTATTCAAGTGGTAGCCTCTGAAGCTGATCTTACGGGATAATTTTTTTTTCTTATCTTGCCCAGTTAAAACTGGACTAAGCTCTTGACTTTCTTCAGAACTTTTCCAGAGCTCTGCAAATTCATCTCCGTGTCTCTGTACTCTGTATTTTTTCTGCCTGTCTACTGACAACTGTTCTTATTTCATCCACCTTTACAAAATTAGCCATCTCAAAATTGTAATTCCACTGATGCAATTGCAATGTCTCTGACAACATGCCTTTTACGCCCATGACACTGTCCTCCTGAGGGTGACAGAGAAACTAAGATCTTGGTAACCTCATAAAATATCTAGAGTGCCTGACAGAGGCACAGAATTGTCTTTGAAAACTGTGAATTGCGAATGATCTCCCATGATGCAGTATAAAAACAGTATAAAATTGGAATAAGGATGGGAGAGAAGTATGTATTTTGCATAACCATAGTGGAAGAATTCGTGCTTAGGAAATTCATATGGAGATGTGTTTTCATGCTTCTCAGGAGGGTTGACATTTCTTGGCTGAACGTAGCATAGACCTGTGGATCACAGCTGAGATGGTGTCAACAGGTTGCTTGTTGTGTGGACAAGCTTTGTGTGCATACGCTGACAGTGCGAGTACATGGGTGGCGTTGTTCAAAACAGAAAACATTCTTAAGAGCTGGTACGCTCAGTATATAAAATCAGTCACTGGTTAAAAAAAAGCAGCATTTGGCACCAGTGTCACACTAGATCTGACCAAGGATTTCTCTGCCTCAGCATTAATAAAATACTGGGAAATTGAAAGGAAAATAGAACAAAACTGGAAGCCATAAACTGACTTCACATGGGCAGACAGATGGCTAAGTGTTTTAATGTATTGCAGGATGTGAAATGTGGAATTAGGATCAGGAATTTTATAGATGAAACTTTCTGTTTGACTAGTCCTCCTGAGTCACTGATTAGATGCAGAAAGCATTTATCGTGGGGATCAGTTTTTACAGGAAATTTCATTGACATATCAACCACTAATATGTCTGCTGATAAATGCTGAAGACTTCATTTTTCCTATTGTTTCAGGAATAATATGAATTTCCTAATGGGATCTTGGTGGCCAAACTTGGAAGATTTGTATGAAGCCAATGTCCCAGTTTATAGGTTTATTCAAAGACCAGGGGATTTGGTGTGGATAAATGCTGGCACTGTTCATTGGGTTCAGGCTATTGGTTGGTGCAACAACATTGCGTGGAATGTTGGCCCTCTTACAGGTATGGTTGAATAGTACTTGTGCTGAACTACGTAATTAGGTAATAATATACTACATATGCCACAGAACTTCCCATGTCTTACTAATTTACCATGCTTTACTAGGTTAAAAAAAACGAACGTACTGTATTTTAAAACATTGTGTTGAAGCTTTAAATAATTCCATTGGTAAGAGGGAGGGGAAAGCAGCAAGAATGCCGTCTTTGCACTTGTCCATTTAATGGACTTGTAAAAATTACAATTGTGTAGCAAACACCAGCAGAATAAAATGTTTAGATGAATTCATACACTCTGTCTTGTAGGCCACTTCTTAACTTTTTCTCCCAACATTTTTTCTACCCAGCAGACTGCGCTATAGCTTGTGTATGAGTTGAGGACTTGTCCCATCTAACTTTTTTCAGAACAACTGCTACTTAAATGCTCTTCAGTGAAAGCATCAGGAAATGCCAACAGTTGTAAAATCTTGTTCGTAAAGGAATACTAGGTTTTTCAGACCTACTATTCTAGAAGTTTTTAGTTTTGAACCATGGTCTTGGAAGGTTTTTAGAAGTGAGAGTAGAAGGAAATTTCACAGCTAAAATGAGATTCTGTCAAGCATTTGAACGGAATGTACTTCCAAAAAACTCCTGTTTTCTTAAATAGTTTAAGGTGTGTCTTTATTTCATTATGATGCAATAAACAGTATATCTCCAGGATTGTATGATTGACTGATACAGAGGTCACGTGTTCAGTCGCAGTAAATTTTGTAAAACATTTTTAAAAAAAGGGCGGGGTGAGTAGGCTGCTTAATGAAAAAGTCTGACTCATTGCAACAAATCTCTCAATGTGCAGTCTTCCTTTTCAAGACAAATTATATACCACAGCATTGTAAAATTATTATAAAGAGTGAATAGAGTGAGATGCAGACATTTTAGATTCGGGGGGGGGTGGGGGTGGTTTGGGGTTTTTTTGTTGTTTTTTTTAATCTGAAATACTTGAAAATTTATTAAGGAACACTTTTTGAAATATTGCTCTCTCTTCACCATAGAAATCGAATGCTTGTCAGCAACTTGTTTTCACAGATAGTTGTTGCTGCTGTGATATTGCACGTTCTTTTAGCATCATAAATACTTTAAAAGAAATTTTATAAAATTCAAGTGTATTTGCAATGAATGTGTCGTTGCGAATGAAGTTTAATCTAGCCCTAAAGGGTATAAATTTTGATTATAATCAAATTATTTTGGCTCCAGTTGATACTTATTTCTTAACTTGACTAATTGCTTCTGTACTTTTGCTTTTGTATAGCCTGTCAATATAAATTGGCAGTGGAACGGTACGAGTGGAATAAACTGCAGAGCGTAAAGTCCATAGTACCCATGGTTCATCTTTCATGGAATATGGCTCGAAATATCAAGGTCTCAGATCCAAAGCTTTTTGAAATGATAAAGTAAGTTTTACTTATTTGAACATTTACTGTACCCATTTCCTCTTCAAGCATAAAGCAATAGTTGATTTGTAAGTAATCCTTTGTAAGATTTTTCCGTTCCTGAGAATCAAGCCAAAATTATTTCATATTCTGTTTTTCAAAGAATCCATTTCAGATATCATTAGTTTTATTATGTTGTATTTGATGTTATTGTGGCTTAGCTTTAGAATGATCTAATTAACTTCTTTGTTAAATGCACCATAGACTTAATACAGCAGTTTACAGAAACAGTTGACTGAGATGACAAAAGCTGTTCAGAGTACATACCATAAGAAATAACAAAATTAGGTCATCGACCCAAATATTAGAATTAGAATGTTTAGTCATTTTTACAGCAAAGTTAAACTTAATTTTACATTTCTAGAACTTGTAGTTAGTGCTCACACACTGTCTTTTGGAGATCCAGTATAAATGTTTTAAATAAATGCAAGTAGGAATTTGAAAGCCTCCTTCCCTTTGCTCTTTCTTCTGAATAATGAAGTAATTGATGTGTAAAATGATGCTTGAGTTTAGTGACATTTCTCATACACGTATTCCAAAATGCAGGAATATTCCAGGCTCGGAGCATCTTTAGTAATTTTCTTTAAAGAGTTCATCTTCAAGCAAATATAGATCATACTGCAGCACCATTATACCTAGGTTGAGGAATGAACGGACATTTCAGCATATATCGTAGGTTTGTCCTAAAGAAAGTGGGGGGAATTCCAATGCAAATGACTCATCATGAGAATACTCTGGTAGCAGCACTCTCTGTTTTCCTTAAGCCTACCAAAGGAGCTTCTAGCTTGAGCACTTCTTAGTCTTTTCAACATACTGGATCCACAAGCATTGAATCCTTTTATCATTTCCCAATTTAAATGGACCTTTAAAAAATGGGTGGGTTAACTTGCAAAAAAAGGGCAAAGAAAAAGAATTTCTCCCCCCCCCGGTAGGATTTATTGATGACATCTGAGTGAGACACCTTTTTACAGTAGGAATTTAATTTAGGCTTGAACATGTTTCAGAATGGTGGAATTGGTGAAATGGTAACTTTGTAAGGACCAAGAATGTTGGAAGTTGAAGACAGGAAGGGAGGTTTGTAGTTACTGTGAAGCTAGATTTTGGAATAGCATTTATGTGTGAATACTTTCTTAAAATCTAGAAACTAATATGTAGGGCAAAGAAAATCTTTGCTGAAGGCTTGGCAGTCTTGCCCCTTTAATTAAGCTATCAGTGCTCATAGTCAGAATGCCAGCTGTCATAAAAGGGAGAGGAGAAACTGAATACTTAGAAACGAGAAACGGGGAGAAACTTCCCTCTTGGGAGGGAAGAAGCCAAAAAGTCCATATATTTAAAAAAAAAAAAAAAAAACACAAAAAAACAAAAAACAAACAAAAACAAACAAACAAAAAAAACCCAAAAAAACCCCCACAACAACCCAAACTTATTTCACAATTACCTTTATATATCTTCCCAAGCCCAGCAGGCATCTATTGTAAAGCTTGAAACAGTTCTGGAACGTTTTTGGAAAATATGATTTCGGTATTTTGGCACCTGTATTTTGCATTTGCACAAGTTCGGGGGTTTTTTGCCATGGTTTGGGCTTAAAAGGAGAAAAACATGACTGAGTATAGCATCCTTCTCCAAGAGAATCTCTTAAAATATTGTGAAGAAACACAGAGGATGAAATGGTTGTTCCCTATTGTCTTGCTGGCTGACAGCAGCTGAGCTTTTTCTAGTGAGACACCTAAATTTTAGGTGTACATTACAAATAAAGAAAGATGCTGAGGAGCAGATACAGACTTCGGTCTTGCATGAGTTCTGCTTTTTCCAGTCTACTGAAACCACTTCCAGTTTACTGGGATTAAGCCCTCATCCACGTTAGTTGTCAGCCAGATCCCAAGTTCCATGCTATGTGTGCAGGGGGGGAGAAGATCCAATGATGAGCTCTGGTTTGTAGCGTCTAGTAGCAGTAACCTGAGATAACTCTTCATTGTGGTCATTTCTATAGTTACGGTATAGCTGTTACTAGAAATGGGTGTCCCCAGAATAAACAGGTCTAGTATCTGACCTTGGCTTTGTAAGCATACTGGAAATGCAGAAACCTTCGTGAATGTCCTTAAGATAGGAAAGCAGTTGCATAATTTTCCTATGGACTGCTTGTCTGCAGGAAAATGGCACTGGTTGGCAAGTAGCTATTGTCCACTGCTTCTGGATTTTATTATGTACAAAATATAGACATTTGTGTGTTTATACGTGTGTGTGTGTGTGCATGTGTATAAAAACACTTGAGAAATAGTGATTTCTGATACAGCTGGTTGAACTTCATCTTGAGTAGCTGACTTTTCATTTGTCATCAGGAAAAAAAAAGTATCACTGACACAGCTGTCATCTTTTTGCCAAAATGCAGGTCTGTATCTAAAATTGGATGTCGAAGATACCTGAAGTGTTTAGGTAGTTTGACTTCTGTCTCTGGGGCTTCTTAGGTATCAGAATAGTACAAAAGAATAGCTCTTGGAAAACAATAAAAAGTAGTTTGTAATTCCAGTTTGAAGATAAATACAAATATGTCTTACTGGGTTATGTGAGAGTAACTACTACATAGGCAATAAACTAAAACTTAAGCATACATATAAATACATATAAATATTGGGATTTATGGTGAAAAGAAATAGAATAGCAGTAGGGAAAAAAATAGTAGAAGGAAACTTTGCTTTTGGAAGAAATCTGAAGCCGCCCTGTATTTTTAGTTAATGTGCAACTCAATGCTGTCTTGCAAGATAAAAGACAGAGCAAAAACTGAAACTTTCTCATGAAATGTTTTTTAAAGATTTGATATTAACAGTAGAATCATGAGCAGGAACACAGGCAGACAGAATGATTTAAAACCTGACTGAGGGAGCACAACCCTCAAGAAAAGAAAAATTAACCACAATCCTCTTAGATGGAAGCTGCAAGGACTTTTACAAATGCATCTGAGGAAGAGAAGAATTTTAGAGGTAGTGGGAACATGGTAATAAAGGCTTAAAAAATTAATTCCAAAGTAACTGAAATAATAAGTTCTTCTACAAAAATAGTTTCAGAAACATAAAAGAACATGACATGGGAGAAATGATTTTGCACAAAATCATGAAGCCAGATAAAATACATTTCCGTATCAGTAGGGAAGATACATTACTGAAAGATACAAAGAGGTCAGTTTTGCGTTGCCATTGGGATGGTCTCCACACTTCCAGAAGTTTTACTGCATATCTAAATATTCAAACAGGTTTCTCACTGCTCTTCTAGAATAAATCAGGATGATGTCCATTCTAAAATCATCTTCTCTTAAATATTTGAATTTGACTGGACATGATTTACTCATACTCTTTATGCCATACCTGTAAAGAATTTGAGAGAGAGAGATGGTCCAGATTTTCTTTCAGCTGAATTCTTACTGTACAAGAATAAAAGCAGGCCTACAGTACTAAAAGCTGACATACATTGTGACACTGCTGGACACCTTTTTGGCTTTCTTTAGGCTTCCCATACTTTAGGAAATTGTGGTGCATTTTCAAAGTGATAGATAGTATGCTTTCTCCCATTCTTTGACAGCATGAAATAGTTAACGTTTCCATTTTCAAGTGCCATTACTAGGATCTGAATTCTATCCAAGGAGGAGGAATTCACCTTCTAGCTACTGTTTTCAGCTTTGGTTGCAAATTTGGCAAACATTGCAGCAGTGTTGTATGTGAGTTACATTTTGGGCAATTCTTGCTTCACAACTGTAACACTAGAAAACTCTTTGAAAATAACACTTTGAAAGCTCTTTGGAAGTCAAGAGTGGAGAACAATGGTGGCAAGTGTGCAGATGTGCTTCCAGTTGCTCTTTGCCATACCCAGAGATTTTTCCAGTTAACAGCAGAAGAGACGAGAAGAGAAGAATGGTAGCTTTTAATTTTATTTGAAATCAGGCTATATTGCATAAAAGAATGCTATACCAAAGTTACTGAACTTGTCAAAAGCATGTGTACGTTAGCCCAACACCCAAGTGAATTAATGCATGATCTATTGCATATGGTTGGCCTTAGCATCGTAAGTCCCATTAACATCAAACTTCAAAAGTGTTGAAGGAGTTACAGCTAAATGAGGTGTTTAATTTTCTTGAAATTCAGTGTATGAAAATACGATGTTGAACAGAAACACGCTTTCAGTTTTGCGTTATTCTTACAGTGAGGGTATTAACGAAGCCATAGACTTGTTTTTAGTGAAGATGAACAGTCTGAGTGTAACACATCAAGAGGAGAGTATCTCAAAGTAAGCCTAAGATTCTATTAACTACTTGGAAACACATGAAAGAAACATTTTTTTAAAAAATACAGAACGTATCTATTACATGTTTAAGGCTTTAAAATGGAAGAAGGATCAAGTTGAAAACATTTCGATAGAACTCTTGAGCACTTTGTTTTCTGTCCAATGTTTATTCTTCCTCTTACATTTTCTCAATCTTCCTTCTGCATCTAATGAGCATGTAACGTAACCACCCTGTGGAGGAGAAAATTAAAGGCTGCAAAGGCTGCAGCTCAAATAAATAGGATCGCTGAGAGCTAAAAATTATTGTAAATAAGATTGTAATTTAGAAATCTGGCGACCTATTTTGCCAGCTTTTTTTTTAGAGAACTTATGTAGCTCATACAATGCGAGAAAACAAGTTAGATTTTCTAGTACAGAAGAGGACTGTCAGAACTTGGTTTTCCAGACTTTGGATAACTGAAAGTTTAATAGTGTTGAGGAAGTAACAGGGTTTTTAGGATATTAATTAAAACAGTTCTTTGGATAGGCTATAGTCATTTACACATAATGTAAACAGATATTTTGAACTTGGCAGTTCAAACTAACTTACAGTTCAAAATAAAATACATGAATTGCTTTTGAAAACACATTGTTTCATTGTGCTTAAAAGAGCGTTCATGCGTTCCAGTAAAAAATGAAAGATACAGCCTGTTTGCAGGGCAAGGGGCAGTACTGAGATGGAACAAATCTCCACAGAGCTCCATAAGCATGTGGTCTAACTTCTGCATAAGTCATGGGTCCAGTGATTCTTATTAGACAGCTGTTTCTGAAATCCCATAGGAAGAGGAAACTCCAGGTACAGGGTCTTGGAAGAAATTTAAGCCTACTTGAATCTTGCTATAAAGTTGAATATTGAACTGAATATACACCTCATTTTGGTTGCAGGTACTGCCTGTTAAGAACTCTCAAACAGTGCCAGACACTGAGGGAAGCTCTAATTGCTGCAGGAAAAGAGATTGTCTGGCATGGGCGAGCAAAGGACGAGCCAGCTCATTACTGTAGCATTTGTGAGGTCAGTAAAAATGTGTTGGGCTTGTGTACTACTGTCATATTTATTTAAATTTTGTCCTGTCTTTTGTTGTTGTTGCTATTTTAATTTCGCTTTTAAGTTGCAGCATCTACTGTATGCTATAAGCACATATATGTGCTTATAGGCAGTACTGTCTTCAAAGAGCTTTTCTAGACATAGGCTGTATTTTGCTGCAGTCTCTTCCACAGCATTGTTATTCACGAAGTCGATTTTCAATTCTCAGTTGTTATAAAAAGTTGTTATCCCTTCCTGCATATAATTTGATCTGCTGAACTTCATTTTAGAGGTGTATCTGTCTTCGTTTCAGAAGTCAACAGCAGCCCCAAAAGAGAGAGAATTTAAGTACATTTTTTTCACAGGATATACCTTTTTGCTGAAATTTTTTATTCTACTTTCTGTTAATAGTTCCTTTAAAGTATTGGATAATTGTTTTCATGAAGCTTAAAAGAAAATAAAATTTTCCTACCCCCTGAAAATGAGTTTCTAGTTATCTTCTGACTGAGCCTCTTGGGCAGGATGAGCGTGTGAATGCGTAGTAAGGAAATAAATCATGAACTTCTTTTGCAGACAAATTTTGAAAAGGAAAATAGGTATAATTGTTATAAATCCCCACCTTACTGAATAACCCCTATTCAGAGTATGAATCCTGCTTTGTCAATATTGACCAAAAGCTTTCCCATTGCGCTGTTCATGCAGACATCCTAAGTGTAATATTAGTGGTTTTACAATATTTCACTTCTCTGCCTGAGCCTTAGGAGGATAGATTTTCCCTGAACAAATCTAATTATTCTCTTTGCATGCACAGGGTAAGGGTGTAAATCTTAAAGAAAATACAGTTTTCATGGTTTAACTTTTAAAAAATGTAACAGTTGACTTTCTGTTTCCTATCTAATAGGTGGAAGTCTTTGATCTGCTTTTTGTCACTAGTGAGAGCAATTCTCGAAAGACCTATGTTGTACATTGCCAAGACTGTGCACGAAAGATAAGCACGAACCTGGAAAATTTTGTGGTGCTAGAACAGTACAAAATGGAGGACTTGATGCAAGTCTATGATCAATTTACATTAGTAAGTCAAATTAATAAGTGGGTGCATAAATACCTTATTTGTAAAGCAGTTGTAGACTGTCTTGGTACTCCATTGTATGAGTACCGTGGACTTTCTGATTCAAATGGAGGTATGGGTTGTGTGTGATATTTACAGAACAAAACGCTGAAGAGTCAGAATTATGTGAAATAGTACAGTAACTTACTGCAGAACATAACCGCTGAGTTTTCAGGAAAAGTATGATGTTACAATTCATAAAGTTGTGGCTTTAAAAATCCAATAGAGATCACCTGAAGACCATAACTGGATCAGATGGAGATGGGAAGAATCAGGACAGTGAAGCTTGGAGAAACTAGCACCAGGTTCAAGAGCATCTCTAATACATTGGTTGTGGTATGAAGTCAGTATAGCAGCAGAGCATCCTACGCACTCAGACCCCTTCCTTCCCCTTCCCCACCCATCCCCTCCCAAATCAGCACTGTCCTTCTGCTTAGCAAGTGGATGCTCTCAAACAGTTCTGTCTTTTGGCTTGGGGCCTCCTTTGCATTTCAATTTAGAGCAAAAAGCCTCTTTGCCATTATAGCTTTGTGCTATATATGGCAGCCTCCTGCTTTGAACTGTGTCAGCACAACTGTCCTAACATTTCGCCCAGGTTTCATTGTTTCAGGCAAAGATGGCTTGTTTGTAATCACAGTGAAAGCAATGCTGGATTTATTTATAAGCCTTGCCTTTCTGTCAGAGGAGACAAACATTGGACAAAGTGTTATGAGAATTTCATGTTGAATTAAACACAACAGCCCAGAAACGGCGGTGCCTTTTGATTCATTTCCAGGTGCTGCAGAAAACGTGTGTTTAGACAATTATTTCATGTAATGCTAGCATGATAGGTTGTGAC